TCCCACTTGGATGGTGGGGACCCAAGTACATGGGACATCCTATTCCGCTTTTCCTGGGCCATTAGTGGAGAGCTTGATCAAAAGCCAAGCAGTCGGGCCCGGCGCTGTGGCCTAGCGGCTAAAGTCCTCACCTTGAACGCACCAGGATTCCATATGGGCACTGGTTCTAATCCTGGCAGCTCCACTTCCCATCCAGCTCCCTGCTTGTGACCTGGGAAAACAGTCGAGGATGGCCCAAAGCCTTGGGACTTTGCACCCGCATGGGAGACCCTGAAGAAGTTCCTGGTTCCCGGCTTCAGATCGGCGCAGTACCAGCCATTGTGCTCACTTGGGGAGTGAATCATCGGACAGAAGATCATCCTCTCTGTCTCTCCTTCTCTCTGTGTATCTGACTTTGTAATAAAAATAAATACATCTTTAAAAAAAAAAAAGCCAAGCAGTCATAGACCTGGCATGATGACTCAGTGGTTAAATTCTGTGCCTTGCAAGTGCCAGGATTCTCTGTGGGTATTGGTTCCCAGCTGTCCCACTTCCCATCCAGATCCCTGCTTGTGGCCTGGGAAAGCAGTCGAGGACGACCCAAAGCCTTGGGACCCTGCACCCGCGTGGGAGACCCAGAAGAAGCTCCTGGCTCCTGGCTTCAGCTTGGCTCAGCTGTGGTCATTGTCTTTTTCTTTGTCTCTCCTTCTCTCTGTAAATCTACCTTTTTTTTTTAAAAAAAATGGAACAACCAGGTGCCCATATAGGATGTTGGCACTGCAGGTGGGAACTTTTCCACTAGGCCACAACACCAGACCCGAGATCTCTTTTTAGATGTATTTATTTACATGGATCTGAAAGGCAGAGAGAAAGAAAGAGCTCTTTCATTTACCAAACCTGTACCTGCACACTCAACTGTGCTTGGTCTGGGAGCATTCTGAGCAGGTAGCTCGGAAGGCACGTGGCTGAGGTGTGGCCAGGGCATCTGAAGGGGTGCATGGGGACCACCACAGCTGTGGAACACATGTGGAGGATGTGACCTGACCCCCTCGCCAAAGAAGATGCCCTAGGATCCCTCTCTAAAGGACTCCTTGACCTCCCTGTCGCTGCCTTCGCCCTGTTCACGTCGTTGGCAACCTGGCACGCAGTCATCAACCTGTGTGGATGGCCCCGTGGAGGATAATTCCAGAGCCGGAGCTTGTGACCACCTGTGCCCCTCTGCACTGCTGGTCCATGGACTTGAACTCTGAACAGGGCGTCTGATTCACTGATGCGTTCGCTTGTCGTCATCCGTCTTTCTACTTTGAGCTCCTTTGGTACCAGACGCTTGCTTGGTTCTCTCCTTCCCGGCAGCCACGAGGCCTCACACGGGGCACTGGGGCACTGGAACTGCTCAGGACGGACGCAGCAGTCGGCTGACCGGGTAGACAGAGGAAGACCATGGTGTGCAGAAGAGCAGCGGGGACCAGAGCCCAGACCTCCTGACCACTCTCTGCTCACATTCACTCCAAGGCAAAAAAAAAAACATCCCAACTCCCCACTTAATGCCATGACCAACCCTCAGAAACTGCTGCCTCTGGGATCCCACCTCCACCCCTGCTACACTCCCAGCCCCACTCAGACGTGACTAGGCGTCTCGGATGTAATGTGTGCAAAACAGAACTCTTAATTTCAAATCTCCAAATCTTCTCTTCCCACCCACGTCCCTATTTAAATAAAGGACAATGCCATTCCTGCAGGAACTTGTGCCAAGAACCCAAGCATCATCCCTGGTGCCTATGACTCTCGTGTTTTCCACCCAACTCTCCAACCATCCCCTGGGCTCTCCAGAATGTGCCAACACCCACTGTTCCTCGCCAGCTCACCGCCCTCATCTCCCACCATCTTTTATCTGGATTTTTGTAGTAGACCTTCCTGTCAGAAGCTTCTGGAACCCACGTCCCATTGGCTTTGGCCAGTGCTGATCTCAGCCCTGGCTGCAGCAGACAGTTGTAAACTCGCCTTGTGTCTCTTTGGTTTCCTCCCTGGACATGTCCAAAACTGGAACTGGCCTCTTAGGATCTGAAATGCGGGGGTACATGCCGGGAAGAGACGCTCTAGCCAACAGGGAGAGGAGCCAGCAGATCAAAACTGTGCTCCACATGCATAATTCTGAAACTTGTTTTTGTCTTTAAAAAAAATACTGGTTTATTTATTTCAAGGACAGATGTGCAGAAACAGATGACGCAGGGGCAGACAGACAAGCGTCATCTTCCATCTAGTGGTTTACTCCCCGCAAACACCTACAGTAACCAGGGCAGGGCCAGGCAGAAGCCAGGGCCTGGAACTCCGTGCAGATCTCTCTCATGCGTGGCATGGTCACAAGTCCTCGGGTCGCCAGCTGCTGCCTCCCAGGAGGGCACCAGCAGGTGGTGGGGATGGGAAGCAGAGCAGGATGCTAACCCTGGCACGCTGAGAAGCGTTAGCACCCCAAGTGCAATTCTAACTGCTGGACCAAATGCCAGCCCCTGCCATTACCAGTGGTAGTAGCAGCATTCAGATAGTCTTATACTTTCTAGAAAGGCCTGGATAAACTGTGCCCCTACTCCTGTTACAACAAGCTCAGTAATACATCTTAAAAGATTTATTTATTTTTAAATTATGTCTATTTGAAAGGCAGATTTGCAAAGAGAGGAGAGAAAGAGAGATCTTTCATTTGCTGGTTTGCTCCCCTGATAGCCACAACAGCCAAAGCTGAGTTGGTCCAAGCCAGGAGCCAGGATCTTCTTCTATCTCCCATGTGGGAGCAACAGGGTCCCAAGGACTTGGACCATCTTCCACTGCTTTCCCAGGCCGCAAACAGGCAGTCAGGTTTAAAAATGGAGCAGCTAGGACTCAAACCTGCACCCATATGACACAGCAGTTTAGGCAGAGGCTTAACCTACTACACCATGGCACTGACCCCAGTAACGTCCTCGCTTTTTATCTCCTCCTTGACCTATTTATTACCTTTTTCCTGCTCTCTAGACTCACATCTAAAACGCAGTCCCATGTACACGTCTTTACGTCCGCCTGTTTCTGGAGGAGGAAGACACCAAAATCAATCTCTGGAAGGATGGTAGAAAGCAAATACCCCTTCCCCCCGCCAAGATGAAGACCCCAGTGCCAATATTAAACAGTGCACTGCACAGCCTGGCCTGGCATGCGGTGGCATCGTAGTGACGGGCCCCTCTCCTGGGCTGTGGGGACAAGGTACAAGTGGAAAAGGAAGCATGTCTCCAGGCACCGGTCCCAGACGCCTGCAGTGCAGGTACTCAGAATGCTGGAGGGTGTGTGCGCTGCTAGGAAAGCCTGGGAGGAGCAGACCCAACTCAGGACACACCGTGGGAGCCAGCAGGCTTCCCATGCACTGGGTCAAGATAGCCTTGGGTTGGGGCAGGCTTGCTGCAGATGAGACCCCAAATCTAACTGTAAGAGATGCAGAATTGCCACACACCAATGTAGGGCCGGCATTGTGCTGTAGTAGATAAGGCTGCTGCCTGGAATGGCTGGCATTCTCAAATGGGCTCCAGTTTGTGCCCAGACTGCTCCACTTCCAACCCAACTCCCTTCTAATGTGTTAGGGAAAGTAGTGGAGCATGGTCCAGGTGCGTGGGCCCATGCTATTCATGTGGGAGACCCGGAAGAAACTCTTGGCTCTCGGTTTGAGATGGGCCCAGTCTGGACAGCTACAGGGAGAGGAAAAGAGAGATCTTCCATCTGCTGGTTCTCTCTCCAAGTGGCTGCAACAGCCAAAACTGAGCGAATGTGAAGCCAGGAACCAGGAGCTTCTTACGGGTTTCCCACATGGGTTCAGGGTCCATAGACTTGAGCCGTTCGCCTCTGCCTTCCCAGGCCAGAATTAGGGAGCTGGATCAGAAATGGAGCAGCCAGGACATGAACCGGTGAGGATGCTAGCGCTGCGGGCAGAGTACTAGCCCGATATGCCACCATTAAACCACCTTTAAGCGCCGATTTCAGTGACATTAAGTGACATTTACAGTTCTGTGTAACCGGATGACACGGTCCACTTGTAGAACCTCTCTATCACCCCAAATTCAGCAGCATCTCCTCACTCTCCCCTGGCCCGCGCCCCTCGTTCTGGCTGGAGTTCTGAGAACGAGGTCAGACGCCTCATGGAAGCAGGAACGTTGGAGTGGGTTTAATTATGTAAGCCTGGAGCCCCCGGCAGATCAGGCTCTCCAGGAGATCCTGGGCACGCGTGGGGGCACACACACACACACACACACACACACACACACACACACACGATAGCACAGGGAGACCAGCAAGGGTCCACTGAGCCTGAAGGTGAGCCAACGCTGTCTGGTTTTTATTTTGGGCTCTGTGGGCAGGTGGACCGCAGCCCGAGGATGGAGTTGGTTGCCTCTCCCAGAGCAACTGATGAGGCTCGGGCCCTAGGAGAATCTGCTCCTTCTGGGACTTCAGAGCATCCAGTACAATAACCCAGACCCCTGCACACCAGCTGCAGGCTGATCCTGGACAGGTGGGAGTTTAACCCTTTCTGCTCCCTGAGGCTCTGGCCATGGCACCCTACCCTCCACCTGGGCTCCACCCCTGGCCTCCTAGGGTGTCCCTGGTGGTGCAGCTGGCGAAATGCCCAGTGCCTAGAGGTGCGCTGCAATGGAGCCCTGGACGACTTCCACCTCTAGCGTGTGTGGGGCAAGCACACAACAGCAGGACCAGCCCCCAGCGGCCAGGGGCTGAAACGCCCCCCCACACACACATCCCCACTCCAAAGCAAGGCAAGCCCAAGGACTCACCCTTTTGTCCTTCCAGACAGCAAGGAAGGTGAACAGCAGGCCCCATGAGCACCCAGAGGGGCCCCCAACGGTGATGGGAAGGAAGTCCCCACCCATCTGGGGCTGCCCCAGCCTAGCCCAGCCCCTGGGCTCTGCAGGCAGTCACAAGTGGGCGCCCGCAGCAGCCGGCATAGAAGAGGTTAATGTACATCTGCCTCCGAATGTTAATGTGTCTAGGTGATGTCAGTGGGAGCCGGGAAGGAGGGAGTGGGGCGAGCAGTTGGGCTTAGAGGCGGCTGAGGCTGCCAGGCTGACGAGGAACCAGGACCCCCTTCCTGACTGCGGGGCTTGGGTCCGGGACAAGGCAGCCCGGCAGGCGCCAGAGGCTGCCGCAGCCCTGCGTGGGTGGACGGGCGCGCAACTCTGGGGCGCCGGCGACCGGGGACAGGCACCTGCACTGGCTGGATGGACCTGCAAGCCTTGCGGCTGTCCACCGGCCCCAATGCCAGTAACGCCTCCGAGGGCCCCGAGAACCTTACCTTGGCCGGTGAGTCCTGGGGGAGGAGGGGAGCCGGCCCTCCCATCCCGCCGGGCATGGGGGAGGATTTCACCCCCGGAGCTGGCCAGTCCGAGTGCTTGGGAAACTTTATTTGAGTTCTTGGGGACCTGGTCTGCAGTCTGCTGTACCCCGGAGGGGAAGAGGGGGCAGGGAGGAGGAGCTGGAGGAGTAGGGGGCAGCGCCCGGGCGGGGGGCGGGGGGACCGGTCAGACGCGGCAGAGGAAGGCTTTCCCGTGAGTGTCGGAGCTGGGGAGGGCGCGGAGGAGGCCTTCGAAGGTACGCCGGTGACCGCCGCCCAGGCTCCTTCACACCCGGTCCGGAGGTTGGGGAGAGGTTGGGGGGAGAGGCTGGGGCAAGCAGAGACTCCACAGCCCAAGGGGGATTAACTTTTCCGGTGAATTAAGCTTCCCGATCTTTCCAACGCTGCCTGCAGTGCTCTGGGATTCCGGCTCTGCGAGAGAAACAGAAGGGAGGCAAAGGGCAGAGAGGTTTGGTGGGCAGGAATGTTCCGCTGCTGGGCTGCCACGCACAGCCCCGTCTCTGCTGCACACTGGAATCCCAGCGTGCAGAGACTGCCACCGGGAAACGCCTGCTAGACAGGCTCACAGTCCCGAGGGCAGAGAGAGGCAGAGGTCCTGCTGGGCTTCCCTGGTCCCCCTCTACCCGCCGTGGTGGGCTTGGCCCCCGGTGAGGCAGTCACAGCAGAGCCACCCCTGAGGCCGTGGCCAGCGTCTGCCTCTGAAAGGAACCAGCAGAGCTTGCCAGTGGGAGAACACACACTAACACAGCATGCACGGGTACGCGTCACAAAACGGGCACAAACGCACTCACGCAGCGCCCAGATGGTCCCACGTGCACACTCAGGCACACTCACACACGTGTACACACACACACGGAAATGAACTTAGGCCTCACACAGTCATGTATGTATACGTTGATGAACACGCATGTGCACATGCTCACACCTGCGGTCTCCTCTTGAGGACTGCAGGGGAAGCCCAAGGACCCCCAGAGCCCACCATGGCACCTGGGCCCCTGCCTTCAGGAGGCCAAGGATGGGGTCCCGCATCCCACAGGTGCTCAGGAGACCCTCAGGGGTGGAGGAGGGCTGAGAAGAGAGACTGAGCAACAGCGGTGGGGAGGGCTGGAAGTGGTGAGGTGTGCTCGCGGCTCCGAGGGTGGGAGGGAAGCAAGAGGCCCAGGCTTCGGAGGTAGCGACTGTTCTGTCCCCAGGGTCGCCGCGGCGTCCTGGCAGCGTGGCCTACATCAACATCATCATGCCTTCAGTGTTTGGCACCATCTGCCTGCTGGGCATCGTGGGCAACTCCACGGTCATCTTCGCGGTGGTGAAGCGGTCCAAACTGCACTGGTGCAGCAACGTCCCTGACATCTTCATCATCAACCTCTCGGTGGTGGACCTCCTCTTCCTCCTGGGCATGCCCTTCATGATCCACCAGCTCATGGGCAACGGCGTCTGGCACTTTGGCGAGACCATGTGCACGCTTATCACAGCCATGGACGCCAACAGCCAGTTCACCAGCACCTACATCCTGACAGCCATGGCCATCGACCGCTACCTTGCCACGGTGCACCCCATCTCCTCCACCAAGTTCCGCAAGCCTTCTGTGGCCACCCTGGTGATCTGCCTCCTGTGGACTCTGTCCTTCATCAGCATCACCCCAGTGTGGCTCTATGCCAGGCTCATCCCCTTCCCCGGGGGAGCCGTGGGCTGTGGCATCCGCCTGCCCAACCCAGACACGGACCTCTACTGGTTCACCCTGTACCAGTTCTTCTTGGCCTTCGCCCTGCCCTTCGTGGTCATCACGGCCGCCTACATAAGGATCCTGCAACGCATGACGTCCTCAGTGGCCCCCGCCTCTCAACGCAGCATCCGGCTGCGGACCAAGAGGGTGACCCGCACGGCCATTGCCATCTGCCTGGTCTTCTTCGTGTGCTGGGCGCCCTACTACGTGCTGCAGCTGACCCAGCTGTCCATCAGCCGCCCGACGCTCACTTTCGTCTACCTGTACAACGCGGCCATCAGCTTGGGCTACGCCAACAGCTGCCTTAACCCCTTCGTGTACATCGTGCTCTGTGAGACGTTCCGCAAGCGCCTGGTGCTGTCGGTGAAGCCGGCCGCCCAGGGGCAGCTCCGCACAGTCAGCAATGCTCATACGGGGGAGGACGAGCGGACAGACAGCAAAGGCAACTGACCCACCCCTCCTGCCACCCGGACACCTCCGAGCCGGGACAGCACGCGTGGTGCGGGTGGGGAAGCCACCCTGGGGATAGTGCAGGTGGGCTGGGAGCGTGGGGTGAGGGTCAAGCTCAGACACCAGGAATGTCCTGCAGGTAAACAGGATGGGATCTGTGAGTGGAACAGAAGCTGAGCAAGTCAGTCAGATGAAGCCTACACCTGTTAGTTTCCAACTGTTCCCCCTCCGCATGCACACACCAACAGAAGATGTAGAAGGCTCCAGATTGGTCTTGTTTAAAGTAGCTGGGGTGCCCCAGGGGAGATGGAGAAGGTGTCACCATAAGGCTCTCCCCCGTGTCTGATTGGAGAGAGGGAAGGTGAGCCTTAATCTCCAGCCAATGGAGGAGGAGAGCTTGGTGGCTCCATTTCATCATCCTTCATCTCGGGGGGGAGGGTGCATGCTTATTTTGGGGGTGTGGGGGCTCTTAGCCCTCAGTTCTCTGGGAGATGCACCATTGGTCGACCCGGAGTGGGTGTGGGTGTGTGTATGTCTATTTGTGGGTGTGAGATGGGGGAGTGTCTTAAAACTCATCCTCTGCAGCTGCCAGCCCCTTGTCTTCCCTGGGAGTACTTGCTGTAACCTGGAGCAGGTGCCTGTGTGCTGCGCATGTGGCCACCCTGTCGGCAGCATCTCTCCGCTGTGGCTGTTCCCCTCCCAAACAAAGATGAATAAAAGAAAAATCTCCACCCAAGTCTCTCTGGAAGCTCCTGTGTTGCCACTGCGGGAGCCTGGGCGCAGGGGTGGCCAGGAGTCACAGACAAGAAGCAGGAGTTAACTTGGGCTGTGGAATTCATACCTCAGCTCCAAGAAAGGGAGAGCGTTTTCCTAAACCCACAGGGAGGACTCAGTGACACAGATGGCATTACTAAGAATTCAGATTGCAGTCCAGCTGCTGGGCTGTTTCTCCCGCCTCAGTTTTCTGTCTTCTGACCCGAAGCCCAGGGACTTTGGCTGTCATGGGTACTGGCCGCCTCAGGCCTAAGTTCCACCCCCAGTGCCACCTCCCGGTGTTGAGTCACCTACTGTAAAGCCCTGAGCCCGTGTCCCCACTTGCTGCTTCATCGACAGAAGATGAGAGCTAGGGCCACTGCGAGGCAGGCCGGCTGCTGTGGCTCGGTGTCCCTGCCAGCAAGGGGCCGGGAGAGCTGGGAGTGAGCAGGGTGCACGGTTGCAGCTGATGCTCCCTAGTGGAGCCCGCCTCTGGCTGGCCTCCTGGGGAGGGAGAGGGGGCTCCCCGGAGTGTCCCCCTCCACTTCCTTGCTTGGTCTGTCTCTCCTCCCAGCTCTCCCAGCGGCAGTCTGGGAAGGAGGAGAGGTGCAGGTGACGAAGCCAAGCGCCTGTGGGTAGCGGGCAAATGGTAGCTGGGCTGTTCTAGGCCCACTGGGGGCCCCAGCTGCTCCCAGGGCAGAGCGCCCCTCCCGCTTTGAGCTCTCCGCTCTGGTGGAAGGCTAAGTGAGGTGAGAGGGAGAGCGAGTGGGCGGTGATGTCAACAGACGGCTAGGGATGGGGAAGTCGGGCCCTGGGGGAGGGAAGAGGAGGCGGAGGCTGGGAGAGCTGTGGGATTTGTCTCTTGAAATCCCCTGAAGTGTGTTGCTGGTTGGACGAGGGAGGGGGGAGGATCTGGGAGGTGGGTAGCACATTCCTCCCCTCCCCCTTCAAGGCCAAGGTTGTGGTTAGCGCTGTGGGGTGCTGTGGGAGCCTGCTGGGAAGAGCAGGGGGCCGTGTCCAAGAGGCCAGCAGCCCAGCCCTCTTGGGGCACAGTCAAGTCCACAGCGCGACTCTGCCAACCCCGACAGTGCTGGTGGAGTAAAGTCCCAATGTGTGTGTGTCAAGTGGCAGCCACCCCACAGGGGTTGTCATCTCAGCGCCAGAGGCCAGGCACCGAGTCCCAGGTCCACACAGCTTCATTTGTACATTGACACAGAGATGTCACTGTGGCCCTTTCAGTCAGCTCTAACCCTCAGAAATTAGGCAACGGCCCGCCCACCGGTCACATGGCTCAGTTCCAGCTCCTGCTTGGGACTGGTGCTGTGCCTGTGAGGCTGGGATCCCATATCAGAACTGGTTCAAGTCCTGGCTGTTCCACTTCCGATCTGGCTCCTTGCTGATGAACCTAAGAAAGCATGGAAGTTGCCTCCAAGTGGTTGGGCCCGAGCTGCTCTCACGGAGAAACCCTGGTGGACTTTCAGGCGTTGGCCTTGTACAGTGCTGGCGGCTTGTAGCCATCTCTCTCTCACTCGCTTGCTCTCACTCTTCCGTTGGCTGGGTCACTCCACAGATGGCAGCAAAGGCTGGAGCTGCTCTCTGATGGAGCCCTGGGGAGCCGAGACCCCTACAGGGCCCATGCAGGGAGAAAGAAGTCAGCACTTCCACTTGGTTCCCACAGCTGCCTCGTGTTCAGCCAGCCCATTCCCCAGTGTTTCCACCCATGGCCTCCCCGCTGCACAGGGAGGAGCTGGTCTTACTGGCTTGGCCCCTGGGCCTCTCTCGGGGGTCCTTCAGCACAGAGCCAATGCACCACCCAAGGCCATGGTCAAATCATAGACATTGGCCAGAAGCAGGCATATGCCCACATCCCAGAGGCGTGCCAAAGCCAGCGGGACTTCTCTCTATCCCGCAGGGCTTCTCTTTGCAAACGGCTGCCCTCTCTCCCGGAGGGCAGAGCAGGCAAATCTTCAGATGTGGCTCCTGCTAGCCCCATGACCTTGGCCTGTGACTTCCTGTCTGGGGCTTGTTCACCCATCTGTAGAATGGCAGTAATGACAACCATGTGGTGTGCTGGTTGGGATGGCTGAGTGAAATTCCTGGGTCACCTTAAGAGCTGGCAGAAGCCCCTCCTGAGGGCCCTGGGACTGACCAAGACTTTCTCAGTATCTCTGTGAGTGGCTAGAGGAAGGTCCTCCTGTGACCTGATGAAGCTAGTTCTGCAGGTGGCTTCATCCCGAGACAGCCAGCACTAATGCAAGCCTCCTGAGGGTGGGGCTTCACAAAAGAACAGGGATGCTGGAGGAAACCCCAGTCCGTCTGGGGCTCCAGGCCCCGGGGAGGCTCTCCAGCCCTCTCCTCCCATTAACATGGACTTTGGGGCCTAAAACCCTGGGTCCAGGGGGACACGTGGACCACGGCAGTGCTGTCTGGGCTCTCCCTCCTTTGTCCTTGCAGGTGCGTTGTCTGGAGCTGTATGCCCTGCCTTGGACGCCTAAGGAATGGACAAGCAGCGTGTATCCCCAAGGGCCCCACTGATGTCCTCCGGGCAGGAAAAGTCACCTGTCAGACCTCTTCTCTGTTTGTTTCACGCCTCAGTGATGCGAAGCTAATAAGTACCTGAATGTGGCTGGAGAGCAATACGTTTCTCCCTTTAGCTGTTGCACAAGATGCTCTCTCCGAGGTGGAGTACGCGACATCAAGCAGCGTGACAGGGCTTCAGTTTTGTCTGCCTTTACTGTGACCCCCTCGTGACACCATCCTGAACTTCCGCCCTTGTGGTTTGGATGTTTTGACCAAACCCCTGCTCCCATCATGCTGCGGGGACTAGCCCTGACTGGCTTTAGCCAGCCGGTGCCCCGTCTTCCTGGCAGCATAGGCTTATCCAGGGTTGGCGATGGTAAGCAAAGGGGATCTAAGATCTCAGCCTAGGTGTGGCGGCCCTGCACGTCAGAGCACCTCCAGCGATGCTGCACTGCAGACAGGCCGCTCCACTTCCCATCCAGCTCCCTGCTGGTGCACCCGGGGAAGTGCAGAAGACAGTCCAAGTGCTGGGACCCCGCACCCGCCCGGGAGACCCCGTGAAGCTCTTGGCTTCAGTTTGGCCCAGCTCTGGCCACTGCAGCCATGTGGGGAGTGAGCCAAGTGAAAGCAACATCTCTCTGTCTCTCGCTGTATCTCTTCAATTAGTCAAGTCTTTTAAAAAGTTCCAGCTGGGGCTTCTGAAAAGGGAAGTCTACGTTTTGTTCACAAAGGGCCTTTCTCATTTCCTCAAGACTTGCCTGAGGAAGCACATAGCCCTCCGGACTGCAGGCAGTGACTCTGGGGTTGCTGGGGCAAAGCCTTGCTGAGTAAGGTCAGCTGAGAAGAATCAGAGCAGAGAGTCGGGAAATAGTTTGGGGCTTGATCAAATTTCCCTGAAACTGGGGCTATTCTTGGTTTAATTTATCATAGAAGCGTGGTAGCTTAGTGGCTAAAGTCCTTGCCTTGCATGTGCCTGGATCCCATATGGGCATTAGTTCTAATCCCAGCTGCTCCATTTCCCATCCAACTCCCTGCCTGTGGCCTGGGAAAGCAATGGGACCCTGCACCCGTGCGGGGAGACCCGGAGGAAGTTCCTGGCCTCGGCTTGGCTCAGCTCGGGCTATTGCAGCCACGTGGGCGGGGTGGGGTGGTGGTGCATCATCAGACAGAAGAGCTTCCTCTCTGTCTCTCCTCCTCTCTGTAAATCTGCCTTTTCAATAAAAATAAATCAATCTTTAAAAAAAAAGAAGTCAATGATTTCCTTTTACTAAAGAACCTATTCAGTCTGGGTATTCTATTATTTACAGTGAGCAATCCCTAAATGACAACAGAGAGGGACATTTTAAAAAATAGATATGTTTGTTTGAAAGGCAAAATGACAGGGAGCAGCAGAGAGAAAGAGGTCTTCAGTCCACTGGTTCACTCCCCGAATGGCTACAAAAACCAGAGCTCCAAACCAGGAGCCAGGAGCTTCATTTGGGTCTCCTTATGGGCGCAGGTTCCAAGCACTTGGGCCATCTTCCGCTGCTTTCTCAGGCACATTAGAGAGTTGGGTTGGAAGTGGAGCAGCCAGGAACCGGTGCCAATATGGGATACTGGCATTATAGAGGCCCCCCAAAGAGAGGCATTTTAAAGATAAAGTTGGCGTGTCGGAAGCCCTCATCTCGAACGTGATGGTATTCAGAGATGCAGGCCTTGGGAAGTCACAAGGCTGTGGCCCTCGGCGTGGTGTTGTGTCCTGTAAGGAGAGGTGGCTGAGAGCTCGTT